AGTCTTGTGTCGTCTTCTTTCCCTCAGCTGAACCAGAATGTGAAGACCATCAGCCAGAATATGAACCGGATCATGCTGACTCTGAAGGACAACTGCGTCATCACCTTGGATAAGATGCCCTCCACTTTGGTTCAGAGGACTAAAGAATACCTGGAGAAGCTGAAGCAGGGAAAGCCAAGTAATTACACCACTTCTCTTTTTAGGAAGGAGTGATCAGTGGTAACCAAAGCAATGTGATTCTTATTTGAGACGTGAAAGTTGAATGAATCCACCGGCCGTTATGCAGATTATAAAATCATTATTACATTGTCATAACTTCGCTTCATTTCTTAGGATTTATACCTACGCTTTATACATGCATATATATTGAGTTGATGGTTAATGTCACATGAACATGGTCAGTCTGAAATTAAGTGTAGGTGAAGACGTAGCCGCCTAGTTTTTCATTAATTCGGCAGAATACTGTAAGGCGAGTAGACACTTTGAACAACAACCACATGAGCTTACCTGCTGAAGTCTCCTTCCTGTCCAACTCACAGACAAGTCTTGTTGTCCACCATAAAATCAGAGGAAAGCTCACCTCTAACGTCGGTTCACATGCACATTAAACAGCATGTAAACCTGTAAATGTCACTCCGTCTGGTTAGATGCTGGTGCGGTCCTCACGTCGGACACAGACACGGCCCCTCCAGCCGTCTGAGACTAACATGAGCATTTCTAAAAGACCTTTTCTTCCTTTTTATTTGATAATAAAAACATATTTAACATGTTGACATTATTTTTGACTACAAAGACTAAATGTGAAGCATGTTGGATTTTAACACAGCCTTGGAATAAGAACGGTCAGATTAGAAACATTTTCATCCTGTCGCATTTCATTCTGATTCATTCCCACACTGTCCTTTGTTTTCTGATAGTTTGTCCTGTTCCTTTTACTCGACGCTGCGTAGTTGCCTTTCTCTTCTGATACATAGTTTCTTGTGGTTGTGTGAGCTGGATTCATAACCCCAGACTGAGTTTGTTCAAAGGACGATTTCATTCATATACTTTGTTCTTATTCTTGCTTAATTTTCCAGTTTTAAAATCATCCCACGGAAGTGCAAACTTCAGTGTGCTCGGGAACCGCGCTGTGAAAAACGAGACCAGTCCACCAGGGGAGAGACAGGTGAGCGAGAACACGTGTTTAATTTTAACCTGGAGATATTAAGACAAGCATACACTTACATTTTACTTCCATATCCAGACTCCTAACATCTTCCAGACAACACAGAGGCGGCAGAGTGCAGAAGGCCGGGAGGACACGACACCGCGGAAGCCTCTGAGCAGCCCGAGTAGAGCTGCTTCCACTCCCACTCGCACTGGACTCTCTGAGAATAGGTATATATGAGTTGATGCTGCTGTTGCTGTACAAATTATCTCATGATAAACAATCATTTTCAAATATAGCTTGAGGTGATGATGCTCGGCATTCTTACAGTGGAGCTCAGCCTCCCAAAATCTGAAATTTAGTTTTTTGTGTTGTATAAATACTGATAATGACAACAACAACGACAACAGGCCACTGCATGTAGTCGTTGCTACTGTCTTAATTCATGCGACTGTCCTTTTAAAGTCGAACCTTGTCACCTTTCATTTATTGGGTATTATGTTTTTGTCTTTCTGTCTTTTTTCCGGGTTTGGGATGGTCAGTTTGAGCTTGTGACAGTCGTGATTAATGTTTCTGTGTACCTGTTTTTCAGGAGCGAGAAGAGAAAGAGACTCCTTAACTCTGAAAGTGACCTGACTGAGGACTACCCCAAGGAAAACGACTCCTCAAGGTAAAAGCAACATGTCTCGCTGTCTAGACTGATCTGTAGTTGTAGCATTTTGTCAGACTGTATCTAGGTCTTTTTCTGTCCTCGTCAGGTGGTTAGACAAATACCAGAATGTTAATTTATACAGTAGTGTAAGATGTATGATCTACACGTGTGATTGCTGTCAGATGTAAGATAATAGTGCATGCAAATATTTGACATTATAACATATTTTATATATACATTTTTCTAAAGTTTCCACAGTAAGATAACTGCCTGAAAAATCTGTGCATATATGTCTTTTTTTAGCAACAACAAAGCCACATCGGATCCATCCAGGAAGTATCTGCTGAGCTGCAAAGATAAGCTGAAGCAAGCGGAGGAAAACAGGAGCTCAGGTAAACTTCTACACCCACAGCTCAGCAACGCCACCTATATACTGGTGGTTATGTCTTCAGTTACGTAGAAAAATTCATCTAGCCTATTGGATTTACCTGTTTATGTGCATAACGTCTGGACTAAAGCACCTTTTGTAACTATTTGAGGCAATAAATGGGATTACGTAGAATATTAACATGTATTTTGAGACCTTAAACTGACTTTTTCCTCTCCCTCAGCACCACTGGGTTCAACTCCCCTTCAGCCAACTACATTTTATGGTAGCCGATCTGTGACTAAAGACTACAGCCAGAGCCACTCTTTCCTGGATAGGTAAGTTTCAAGTATTATGACGATCCTCGAGCATTTTAGTCTAGTGGGAGAATAGGATCACATTTTTGCACATGTTTATTTTATGGATATACAGTTTTGGCTGCTGATTACTGAAGGGATTTGTGGTTTTCACATCTGCATAATCTTTAATTTAGGCCATCCAGTACAGGACAGACCACCACAGCCAAGAGAAGCCTCATGCTGCCCAATCACTCCACTCCCTTCAAGAAAGTACGCCCCTCTCTGGACTACGGTGGCTGGAACAAGCAGAGGCCTTCCAGTCTGGCCCAGCCTCAGCCCCCACTGCAAGGGTAAGAATAAGCCAGATGGGCGCCACTAAATGTAAGCATAAGCAGTTGGTGTATGTGAGAGAGACTTTATTTTGGATATTGTGACCCCAAATTATACACCACTGAAATCAGACAGAGCTGTTTATGCCTCCCTTCTTAGCTCTTAGCTTTTATGATTTCAAACATTAACATTTTTTGAATCGTGGAAGACACGTCTCTGTAAGTCCTGCAAAAAGGCACAGTGTTGAAAAAAGGCTTAAATGGGGTTTGTGTGTAATCCTTTCATTCGTATATCACAGCTTCTCCAACTTGGGCAACACTTGCTACATGAACGCCATCCTGCAGTCCCTCTTCAGCCTGCCCTCCTTCTCCAATGACATGCTGAAGCAGAGCATCCCATGGAAGAAGGTGCCCATCAATGCATTGCTCAGGTATGTTATTCTCTGTTGACACGGGTAACTTTAAGGGGAGAGAGTGGGATTGGATATGGACTAA